AATTGTATAAATGCAATTTATGTTCCCCTTTGAGAGAACTTGTAGGTATTTTTGGAAAGTTAAATAAAATAATAATAATAACAAAAAATTAAAGATAACTGCCAAAATAAAAAACATTGAAGGAAATGTAGTAAAAAAAATAAATATATAATAATAATAATTAGAATATATAATCAATATAATCTGATGTGCCCTCCTCCCCAGCAGGTGGCGCTAATGCACATTACCGTCGTTGTACTACAGACAATAAACAAGACAAGGAAGAACGAAAACAACGTCGTTTGAATTACCAGGTTTTCCCACATTTTCCAGCTCAATCTCTGTTTAATCGCCTTGTTCGTACATTTTCACACCAAATTGACATTCTTATATTTTATAGCAGCTAAAAACACGTTACCTAAATGCTTTTACACCTTCCGCATGCGCTGTGTGTCTGCTGTTTTAGCCACGAAGCTAACGAGGTTGCGTGGAAACCGCGCGTATTCACCACGTTACAAGAAGAGTTAATAAAAGCTGATAAATTCCTCACTAATCCTGCAGCTCGCCGATGTTTGCAGCTTCGTTTGGGGGAATAAAAGAGCCACTGTCTTGTCTTTGTCTTTTTGTAGCACCATGCCGAAGAGGAAAGTGACATTTGAGGACGGGGACGGAGAGTTTGACCTGGAAGACGACCCCCCAAACAAAAAGGTACAACTCTCCTGTTCACATCATTGCTTACTAATAACTATATAATTTAAGAACTACAGGATTTTATTTTTAAAAAAGGACTTATAAAGCCCCAAAAACCACCATCAGTGTACAAGTGTGCAGTCCAAAAACAAACACAAACAACACCCAAGACTGGGTCGCCTTTGGTACAAAGACACCTTTATCTATTGTATTATGAATTACTTAAAGATAAATTATCTATAAGGATGAGTTGGTCATCTGTCTACACACAGATCATGTGTGTAAAAATGTTCTCTTTGCATGCCTTTGACAAGTTCAGGGTCCTTTCTTTCTTGTCCTAACCATAAAGATAAGATGCCTCTGTTTTCCTTTTAATGTTAAATAATCTTATTCATAATACTTTTCTTTCTTCTGTCGAACTAGACGTGCGAGGCTGTGAGTGGACCGGGCTCCAGGTTTAAGGGCAAACACTCCCTTGATAGCGACGAAGAGGATGAAGGAGAAGAGACAAGCACAAGCAAATATGATATTCTGGCCAGTGACGATGTGGAGGGTGTGTTTTATGATTTGGACCGTCTGTGAAGTGTTTTATATGCCAGGATATATATTCTTTGTTCGATCACAAGCTTAAATCTACAGGTTTTCCCCATAATAATGAGAATTTAAATTATGTATTAGGGAAGCAAAGAGGAGTGGCTGAACTCTTTGACACTGTGCTATAAAAGTGACCTTAACACGGCGTTTTGCCTGAACATGGAGCATCAGTAATTATGTCACCCAAGATCATGATAACTATGTTTTCAGGCCAGGAGGGAGCAACAATCGACTGTGATGAGGGAGTTCCTATCACACCCTTCAACCTGGACGAGGAGATGGAGGAAGGATACTTTGACTCTGAGGGAAACTATTTCATCAAAAAGGAAGAACAGATTAGAGACAACTGGCTTGACAACATTGATTGGGTAATTTTGTTTTAGGGAGTTCTACTTGATGTTTCATTAATTTCTCAAGCAATGAAAACAATAACATACATCACTTCTTCCAGGTGAGAATAAAAGAACAACCTTTCAAGAAAAAGAAGAAAGGTCTCGGAGCCAAACGGACGCGTAGAGTTGGCGACGAGGATGAAGCCGAGGAAGAGAAACGGAGAGAAGAGCAGCGGGCAGACCCAGAAAATAAAGAAGATGATGATGAAGAAGAGGAGGAGGCAGAGCCTGCAGAGGATCCGCTGGCATCCTACACACAGCACCAGCTCACAGAAGCTGTAGTCGAACTGTTGCTACCTGGGGAGACAGTTGCCGCGGGACTCCGTCGGCTAGGAGGCCTTGGAAGACGGAAGAAGGGGAAGCTGAGGGAAGAGAGCGAACCCACAGAGGAGAACAAAAGGGATGCAGAAAAGCTCGACAGGCTTACGGCACTGGCTGACAGATTGGTTGGGTCTGGGATGTTTGAGATCTATCAGCAAACATATGAAAAACTGGCCTATTTGATGAAGAGCATGAGCAGCAAGCGACCAGCTGTGAAACGTAGCGGTGATGATGATGATGATGAAGAAGGCGATGAACTTGACATGTTTGCAGATAAATTTGATGAGACACAAGGCACGTCAGGGGATAAAGGAGAGGAAGAAGACAGAAAAGGTTACTTGGTGTTACTTACGTGTACATTACCTTTTCAGTATCACAAATATATCTTGTTTTGTTTCATTCGGTTTTGTCTTTTTCTCAGTGAGCGATGAAGTGATGTGGGAGTACAAATGGGACAATGAGGATAACTCAGAGGTTTACGGCCCCTTCACCAGTCAGCAGATGCAGGTATTGTCCTACACCAATTTTAGGTCAGAAAGCAGTTTGAGTTTATAGGTAATGCGGTGGGCTTCTCCGAGAAGATTGTGTCTGTTAATGTATGGTTTTCATTTCATTTAATCAATATGGAATGAGCTCCAAGTCTGGTTTTGTGTTATAAATGATCAGAACACACAAGCTAATATAAGATAGACTTTATTGATCCCACACTGGGGGGATTCACACGTTACAGCAGCTCCAGATAAAACACAGCAGA